AAAATAAAAGAAAAGTGACAAAAGGGGTCATGTTCTAGAAAGAATGAATCATACCATTAACTAACTGGTCAATAAAAGTCAACCTTCCAATTCTACAAATATTACACAAATCAATGTCTGATAAATATTGTTTGTCAACATGTGGCTCATAATTTCATCCTATTCTTAAATAACCATTATAGCTATACAGTTGTCTTTAAATAGGATCATGCCTATCCAAACTATCTTATACAAAAATCCATTGTCTAACCTATTAGCAAAACTACATAGTCAACCCTGACAACCACAAGACATAAACACCCTAAAATGCCACAGATAAAACAGGGAGACTATGGTGGCCAGCATCCAGCTGCTGCAAAGGCTGTTAAAATATGTTTGAGAGATCCAAGGAAGAGAGCCATGCCCCCTGCTACAGAGGAAGGCAAAAATCCCCAGTCTCTACCAATCTGACCATGGGATAAAATTCCTTCCAGACCCCAAATAAGGCAATCGGTCTGCACCTGGGCAGAAGAGACCTGTATGTTCATTTTCACCAATACTGCACTGACTGGGTAACAGCAACCTGAGTGCTTAGCAATGACTAGTTCTCTGGTAGAGGCACAGAAAGGAACTATTAACAGTCTTAGACCAAAGGCGAGTGGGCATTTCGGGCCTACCCAAGGAAACCATGACTTACATAATGTTAATTTCAGAAAGGTTGCTGAATTGTTAACTCTAGTGATGAGCAAGTGCATGGTTCATGGACAGAAAGTGAAAAAATGATAAACACTTAATCAGACTACTGAACCTGTTTAGGAGGTAGGCCATTACTAATTTAATGCTTTAGCAGGGGAAGACTCAACATCTTTGCAAGTATAAAGCAAGCACAAGCTCCATTCAAGGTCTGAGCCAAGCAATCTTTAATATTTTAATCCTCACTGAACTCCTGAAAGCTGAGAAGCATTATTACTGTTCTAAACTAAGTGACTTGAACAAAACTGCACAGGAAGCCTGTGGCAGATGAGGTCTCCAGAGCCTAAGTTAGTGATGCAAAAAGCCAAACTGGGAATGTTGTGCAGAAAAAAAAAAGCAGTTACACAAAACCTCCAAGAGATATGCTTTGAATCTTAATGACTAGAATTGTAGCTATTGATCTTAAGCTAGGACACACGTTGCCCCATAGAGATGTAGCAATGTGCTACAGCACTGTATGGCATGCTACGGCAACATAGCGATCATGTGGGTCTACATGTGATCGCCAGCTATGTCACTGTAGTGGTGCATTCCCCCCATTATAGTGCACTGCTACAGTAACGTAGCTGCGAAATCTAACCATGCACAGTATAGTAACCACCCATACTGTGCTGCACTTTAGTACTTCCAAAAGTAAGTACTAAAGCACAGCACTGTAGCAACATCACCGTACTGTGACGTGTGGACACACGCAGAGTTTTCCTCCGACGTGCACAAAATTGATAGGTTTTCATGTACAGCTTTCCCTTGCCAACCACGATTTTGCCAATCATGGCTTTGAGCATCCACGCTTAATATTCTATATACCATTTTGGCTACCACAGTATACAATTCTGAGTAACCCCGGTTTTCCATGGCCGCCCATCAGCCCGCCACCTGCCATTTTTCTTATAAGCCTTTGGTTTTGCCAACCACAGCAACTTTCAGGAACCCAACCCCAGCAGTTGGCAAGGGAAACCTGTATGCGATTTTGAAGAGAAAATTTGGCCCATTTTTTCCAATCAATACTGCACGCAGGTGACAAGTGCCCTCAACTCTAACATCAGTCTTCCTAAAATTGTAGTTTTGGCATACTAGCATGTGTAATGCAAAGCAACATGTTAAGAAAACTTCACTGAATACATATTTGTTTACTCTGGCCAATGCAAACTTCTGTAAAGGATGAGGGTGAGGGCATTAATACTACATATATATTTCATATATTCACTGTACAGTTAAGTTCCTACATGCTACAAAATAGAGATTTAAATTATTTTGATAATTTATTCTGGTCCTTACAGCTCTCTTGTAAACAGTGAGAACAGGCATGCATAGCATTCTAAAATAGTTATAGCAGTCCCAAGATCCTACACTGATAAAAATCATGTCTTGGTATTTTTTTTTTTTTTAAATTTACATCAACGAAGGGATTTCCTTACAAATCTTCTCGCCTACACTATTTTTCCCCTACAGTGAATCTTTTCTTTATGAACTGGTCTGTGCCACAGAGAAGGATCCATCTAACATCCCATCTCCTTCTCACAGCAGCCTGCCCAGTACAAAGGAAACTTCCACCAATCCTGCAGACATTTAGGGCACTGACAGATGTGGAACCCCTCCCCATCCCCCCCAAAACAAACAAACAAACCCCAATGCTTTATCAGAAGAGGAAGCACATTACTTTGACCCAGCTCCCCAGCATCTGTATAGATCAGGTACTTCAGCGGGGCTTTTATCTAATAGCTGATTGAATCAGCTATTAGGTAAGAGAGCCAAAAAGCCTTGCTGAAGCACCCCACACACACACAAGTTCATATTTTATATATATACTTGGCTCACCCAACGATAGAGAGATAGATATAGTTGGGTGAGCCAGGTCAAACTAACACAATGCCTCTTCTGGGCATGCACTGCGCTCAGTGTGGGGGCATGTTGAGCGTAAAGTAAAGCGCCATTTTTTTTTGAGATCTATAAGCAGCCTTAAAGCTTAACCTTAACAGGGTGACTGATGTACCCAACCATTATCCCATTTTATACAACTAAGAATCGCACCATGTGGTGCAGATGCCTACTTTTCTTGTTCTCGTGTCGAGTTGAAAACCTTGAGAATCCCTTGAACTGTGGAGTGAAAGATAGTACATCCATCCTATCACATAATAGGAAAAAAAAGAGTAGAAAGCACCCCGTGGCTCATCTAGTCCCTCCTGCTACCACTGCAGGTATGTTCTCTGTAATACTGTCTGCTGATCCTATGCACAGTCCAGTTTTAAAAAGGACCTAAGCAAAAAAGTTATTTTTTCCATCCTTAGAGTATAAACAGTGATGACCCCAGGAGATCATTGCTGGTAGTCCATATATATATTTTTTCTTTCCTTAACACTGTCATTATTTCTCATTTTTACCATTAAAAAGTTTCTCCCCAAATTCCAGACATATCTTCCTTTAACAATTCTGAATGTATGCATTTCAAATCAATTGTCCAGGTGCACTGGTTTATTATTGACGCAATTCACAATAACAGTGGATTCTATTTGCTGTAAACAGTACAGTGATTTGTTTTTAAAACATGATTGGGTGACTAGATTTCCTGAAGGACAAAGATAGCAAAAAAGGGACAAAAGAAAATCTATTACATTTAAAATCAGAAAAAGAAGGCGGCCAGCATGGTCTGTAACTCCCTATCCCAGCAGTAACCTTTACACTAACTAAAGAAAAACAAAAACAAACAACAAAAAACTTGTCACCATAATCCAGCTACCTTTGGAATATGGATTTTTTTCTTGCTCTAGTCCTCTGCCTAATGTAACAGCCCTGTTCAAAGACTCCCTGCAACTGCCAAAAAGAAATAACTTATTTTTGTAGATTGCACCATTTCCTTTTCTTTCACTTTGCTTTTAGCAGGAGGCGGCAGCAACCAGAATCCTGGGTTCCACGCTGCTCAAAGGGACAAAAAAAATTGATCTCCTGACACTTAAGGCTGGACTCTTTTTTGTTTGTTTTTTTAATTTTGCAAATGTCAAATCCTTCTATACTTCCGTATGGAAGATAAAGGACGATGATCTCAAATTAGACAGGCCTATTTTAGCCTTCTAGAGAGATACGAGATAGAACTCCGGTGAGAACCACACAGTATCATGGCGAGAAACAAATTTCTCCCCTTGATGATATTTCACTTGTATGACTCCTATTGTCCACTCATCTTGTTGACAGACTGCATGTGGAAGGCCTTACAGTCACTGCCTGCATGTTAAAAGCCAAAAAAAAGACAAAAGGAAGTTATTTGTGGGGCTGTCGCCTACCCAAATCTTATTCACCACACTGAAACTAATGATCAGGGAAGGGCCTTATTAGAGTTGGCAGGGTTGGAGGAAGATTTTTCTTACCTCACGGTCACCTCTCATAGTCGAGTGGTTCTTTGGACTCCACGAAGCCTGACACTGTCTGGGATAAATACTTTGGCTCAAGAGAATAATTTTTTGTTTGGTTGATTTGAAATTCCCAGATACTATGGGCGCATCCCCATGAGCGGGACTGTGCGTTTCCCTGGGGACTAATAGCAATGGCACATATTTGTTGCTGCTAGTTGTCCCCAGGGCTGCCCTTGCATAAACTGCCCTGGGTGGGGTAGGGGAGGCTGGGACCAGCCCAGGTGCTTGCCTCAGCAGCCTTACCTGGGTCCTGGTGGGCCTCCGGGAGCAGCAGCAGGGGTGAGATGGGTGCATGGAGCCTAGCCAGCAGGTGGAGTATGGCTCTGGCCAGCCAGGCTCTGGTTTCTGGCAGCACATGCTGCAGCCACTGCTTTTTTCTGCTGCAGTTTTTTTTAGACGCTAGGATTTCCCGGTATCTAATTTTGCCACCACGCTACAAATATGCAGAGCAGCAAATGGATTCATGAGCACTACGTGTGTTTCGTGGTGCTTCTAAATGCTTTGAGATGCCACAAATGGCATGTTTCCGCTCATGGGGATGCAGCCTGTGGGACCAAACATAAGGACATTTTTTTTTAAACTGTTGTAAGCTGTCAGAATGCCAATGACTTCAAAATTTAGACCAGCTGTCCAGTAGGTTTCTCCTGCTTCACATTTCTAGGCACCTCAGTTTAAATTTAGTTCTGTTCTTCCTGATGTTTCATCCATCTTACTAGATACTTGCTCAGGGCAGCAGCAAAGTTAGTCAGGCTATAAAGGTAGCAGTCCATTAGTACCCTGAGGTATTATGGAGCAGCCTAAGGCAGCAGAGTTTCACTTTAGCTAAGTAATAAGTGTGTTTGAATGCTGGCGCAGAGTTTCACTTTAGCTAAGTAATAAGTGTATTTGCATGCTGGAAAGCCACAGACTGATCTTGCATAGCTTTGTCAAGAAAAATAAATTTCAGTCACAAGAGCCAGATCATGAACCACCAGTCAGTGTAAAGGAGAACATGAATGGCTGGTGGCCATGACAAGAAGTAGGCAAACTTTAAAAAGAATTAACATTCAAACTGGGAAAGAATCTTTTTAGCTTATTTTTTGACAATACATGCTAACATACACTGATGAGGAGAGCCAGATGCTAAACAGCATGACCAATAAATCCAGGATGGCACTGCTTTCAATAGGAGGTAAATACATTGATGAAAGAAAAAAAAAGTAAACGGTGGCAAGAAGATTGATCTTCCCTGCCCCACACAAGAATCTACTCAATTGCCTTTTACCATAAAAACCAATAATTTACAAACCAATTGCACTTTCTATTCACCTGTTAAGGTAGTTTGCATACCCCAGGTAAGAGTAGATTTTTACAAGGCTGCAATCCTCTACATAACCCTTCCCTTGTAAACCACTTTGCAATCTAGACTAGTAAAGGTCATTCAGTATCATTACTCTAGAGTATAAAGGGAGACTGTGAAGTCTGGACAGGGGCAAATAACTTCAGAGCTACCAGCAGACCCGAGTTTGGCCATTTTCTTCTTGTATCCTGGCAACTGGGTCATAGTGTCTCAACAGCAGCCCCATGTGGAAGGGCCTGCAGTACCTTCCAAGGTCCCTCCATTTGATGTTAAATTATTACTGTATTTACTCGAATAGAAGATGATCCTGATAAGACAGCCCCCCACAATAATTAGATTCTATATATGGAAACTTTATAAATGTGTTATAATTTTCCAGGTATAGAATCTAATTATTGGAGGCTTGAATTGAATTTGTTCCCCTCCCACTGCTACAGCAGGGAAAATAAATTGGGGGAGTCAGGGAGCCCCTTTGCTCTCTGCTTCCCCTTAACTTTTTTTCCTTGGCAATCCCTTCCCCTTACCATCAGATCCTACTGAGCACAAAGAAGCGAGAAGCAAATTTAAAAACAACAACCTTGAAATTAAACATGGCTGAGAGGGGATGACAGAGGGATTCTGGGTGAAGTATATGCAATGCCATGGCTCAGTATGACTTGAAAAAACAGTTGGTGGTGAGGGGGACTGCGCTTAATGGGTACTACCATATGTCTTATTCAGACGGGCTGTACTAATCTATTTTTGTGGCAGGTTCCCATCAGCATGTTTGCCTAATGTTGGGCCATGTGTTTTATAGTCATTCTCAGTGTTAGCTGCATTTAATCAACTTCAGAGTTGGTTTCTATTGCTAAGCACGTGCTGCTTTTGGCAGCAGTTTAATGATAGACAATGTATTTAGTGAAATTTCCTTGTACACAATTATAAGGCAGGTGGCTTTTTTTCCACCCATGCCAATAGGGGTGAGGGAAGAAGAAGGGGAACCTTGTCTCATATTCGAGTAAATACGAGTAAATATGGTATTGGCCTTGAGAGAAGCTATTTGCAAGTGCACCAGCTTGGAAGAATCCAGAGAGGTGACCTAGCAGACAGGACCTCCTTAAAAAAAAAAGGAGGGCAATTTTCTTGCCTATTAACTTTAACAATGCCCCTGTAAAAAGGTCATTTGGACCAATTCCGGTTTTTAAGTTGCCTTTATTTTTAAAAGGAAGTGCCCATTCTGACTGCAGAACATGTGGGTGTAATTCAGCAACCTCAGACAAGATCAATAAAGAAAAAAAAAAAAAAAAAAATCAGTCATTTAAAAATAAATATAAGTAACCAGATTGGGAACAAGAGTGGGGGAAGTGAATTTAATCTCCAGCAATACAGAACACTAAAATGATGCCTCCTGAGGAGCAGCAAGCTTATCAGGCCCAAACAAATTTGCTTAGGCCCCACTTTATGCCCTTCCACAGTTCTAAGCTCCTGCCAGTATTTTAATTTGAACCAGTTTGCACAGACTCAAATTCAAAACCGGCCTGGATGCTCCATGTTAACATTGAGCTGAAAAAAATTAATTTCAGCTATTGTAAAAGGAGTTGCTAAGCAACCCATCCCCTTCATTTTGCAATTTGTGTGGCAAGGGAAAAGGACAGGAAGGTGTCTATGAAACTCAGTACCATCACCACACCTGGGAATGATGTTTGCTAAAACATGTAAACAGGAAAGCCCTTTTTGGAAGTGCGATAATCCCTCAAACCCTTTACAATGCACCTTTTTGTTAAATATAAGACCTGACTCAAAATTCCTCCACAAGAGAACACATTAGCAAAACCCATCACAAATAAATAGGTAGTCTGTGTGTGTGTGTGGGGGGGGGGGAATTTTGACAGCTTTGTATACAGTATGCGGGTGTTGGAAACATTTCAAACCAAGAAACTCGTCCACACCAAGCAGCATGTATCCCGACATAATGAAATACAAAAACTAAATTGCACTACACACAGGTTTTCCAGACAAACTCAAAACACCTGAACGCAGCCAGATTGTACAAACCGTTAGTTAAAAAAATACCTTCTTGTATATTTTTTAGAACAAGTTGAAATAGAGTCTCTGTGCAAACGTTGAGCCTTGATCTAGCAGAGGACTTGAAATCATAGATACATTAGTTCCTTTTTCATCTGCCGCACACACTGCAAGATCTTAACTTCTGCAACATGATTAGGGTTAGGGAATCTGTTTCTTCAGGAAAAAATGACTTTTTACATTCCAGTGATGCATCATCAAGAAACTACTGGTGTCATATCCCATAACTGTTAAGAAAAAAAAGTGATATGTAATACTGGACAAGTGTAATAGGCTATTCTGTTAAAGAGAAGCATTAGGTCAAATATGGAAGCCAAAGTTTTGAGTGTTCTTGACCAATTTGACTCATTTCTTTACAAGAAGAATATCTGTTTCTGAAAGCTTTCATTATCCATGTCAGTTAGACAAAGGTATGCAAAGGATGCTATTGTTATTCTTTAATTGGGTAAGACAGACCTACAGAATAGGCCTTTCAGAAAAACCAGAGTCAAGAACACTGCACTTCTGCCAATATGACTGATTAACATTATGATCTACAGGTCTCTCTTTTTAATATGATGATTATTCCCATCCCTTTGTTATGAACTCCCTCAGAATTTTAACTTGCTCTGCACTGACACACCTTCCATCTAGTCTTTACCCAGGAAATACTAAGATTAGATACTTTGATGTACACCACGATTGGACTTCCTCAGGGAAAAAAAGGTAAGGTTGACACTTGCCTCAAGGTAGCTGCCACATGTCACTCTCCCTTCTAATATTAAAAAGTTTATAGGTGGAGACTTGTGTCTTCCTAACAAAAACCACTCAAGTCAGTTCCTAGACTAGGTACACTGTGGATCAAGTTGTTTTAGCCTGTGGTCTTCACAAAGAAGAGGGGAGGAGGGGAAAAAGGTTACCATGTACATCTTCTACGCTAAATCTCTAACAGTTATTTCCACATATTTTCCTAGCATAGACAAACATTGAGACCTCTGCCCACAAACATTCAAGTTGCGTATGCAAACAAAAGCTGCATTACAGTTACTCAGAATCAGCAAGGAAAACCTGTACTGTACTGGTAGAAAACAGGGCAGAATGGTACTTTGGAACTAAGTTTTTAGAACCACGTCCTGCCTCCTGCCTGACTTTGAATTAACATGCCTAACTGTGTCTCTGTACTGTACTGTTTGAATACTATGAAGGAATTTGATTTAAAAAGGCAATTATTTTAAAATGAGATGTTGAGCCTGTTTGCTGAAGAGAAAATGTTCTACCCCTGTAATTTATGAGCTCACTTGAAATTCTGACTATTTAAAACTGTTTTCAGTGTTTCACAGCAATTCCTCCAACTCTCCAATACTTTGGTTACTGCTTGGTTAGAGCAGTTTTTATTTTCACCCAGTTCTTACTATACCAGTACTCCAAATACAAAGGCTCAGTAAAATTATGGTACTTGCTTTGGCCACTGATCAAAAATCAGAATTAGTCTGGATAAAAACAGTAATTCCAGTTAGTTTTAGCAGATCACATTTTCTTCCTACTGATTCCCTTATTAGCACACCTGAAATCACAGCATGCTTACTTGCATGGAAAAGGCACAAAGTTGTTAACAGACTTAGGTGTAGAATTCATTACCTCAATACCCAGCCACAGAACCTGAAATAGTGGTTTTCACCTGAAATACGGTCTACTCATCCCCTGCTAGACTAGCAGAGACACAAGGTCAGAGTCAGTCTCTGAGGGCAGGGGATATGTTGCATCAGTATTGTTGCTCAGTCACTTGGGTCCCCTAGCAGACATTACAATTGAGATGCAATTAATCAGATATTTACATGTTAAGTAGCAACCTGGCCACATGTTCATGCAATTATGGCACGAGAAAACAGGGAATAAGCCACAAAATTATTACACAAAGTGTAATAACTTTGTGGCTATTTCCCATTGTGCCTTAAATTGAACACGTGTCCAGCACGCTCCTGGGGATAGCAGCGCCAATCTGCCGACTGGTGCTCCCAGCCATGGGAGCCACCAGAGTCCTTCAAGGCTCTAGACTGCTTCCGGAGCTGGGTGCGTCCATCAGCCTACTGGCACTCCCATCCACAGAAGCACCAGGGTTGCTACTTGCCAGTGGAGGAAGAACCTAGGATCAACTCAGCCTCACCCTGCATCAACAACAGGGTGGATCAGATCCCATTGCACCTTTAATGGAACATCAGCCAGTGTCCTACGTGACATACAAATAGGCTCAAGGACCATTTTGGATCAACTGAATTATTCCACTGTGTGGTGGCCCTGCTTGCCTAGATGTGGACCAACCACCAGCAGAAAAGCATTGGCGAATCCTAGTATGCCGAAAGAACCTGAGCTGCTGTGGAAGTGAGCAGGTATCATGAAAGCCTAGAGACTGCATGGACCAGGAGTAGCTCCTGTTATTGGCGGGGGGAAGAAACTTAAACTGTTTGGGAAATAAGAGAGCAGCGTGGGGGGATGGGAAAATGGGTAGAAGGGAGGAATGAACTAAAGCTATTTGCTTACTCTTACCTTAATAACTTTGTCTGTCCCAGAAGTCAATAGCCATCCCTTGGTTGCATCAAAGTGTACATGGACAATGTTGTGCTTACTATTATGGAAAGTGGCTGTGGGTGCCCGTCTACAGGAAGATAAAGCATCAGAAAGAGTTAGCGAGGACATGACTGCAGGGCTGAAGAAAATGATTATTTGAATGCTAACATAAGATATTGATTTTTCAATGGCTCTTGTTATCAAGAGAGAGGAGATGGCTTTGCTCTCTTTGAAGGGTATAAGCCTGCTCCTCACTGGACACAGAAATGCTAGCAAAATGTTAAATGGAGAACTGGCTTTAGCCAAATGATGCCATTGAAAGGAAAGGAAATGGTCTTGGTGAAGTAATACAGAGCTATGACAGAAACCCTTCCTCTCCTGCCCCTGCCTTTGAAAGGTTAATGCCAGAATTTCTGGAACAGCATGGGTTGAACTCCTAACACCTCAAAAGGTGACTTAAGTGTTTCCATATTTCTGAACCAGCCTATGGCAAGGCAATCTATTCCCATAGGAGAATCTTTAGTATTGCAAAGTCCAGGACAAAGCTTTCAAAAAAGGTGGAGGGTAGGGTAAGAAACCAGAGCTCTAAAATCCACTGCTGGAGGTTTTTACTTTGACATTGTAATAATTTTTTGTCATACTTCTTCGACCATGTATGATAACTGTAGACATGTAGTAAAAAACAAGTTTTCAGCTTCAGTGGCAAACAGATAAGAATTAATTCTACTCGGGCAACACACTTCATTCTCCATCTTATACCAGAACAGTTTCAGATGTGAGGGAACCTACGTGCTCCTAGCCTTTGAATGCCACCTAAGCATTCCTATTTACCTCTTACTATCTCTTTATTAAGTGAATTCTCCTGGCCCAAACCATTTTGATGTTCTTCCCTGAACTCCATTTTACCCATCTTTCTGGTGACAGGCACCCACAACAGGCATAGCTGTTCAGGTCTACCACATCTATAGCCCTATACAGGAGAACTATTAGGTCTTCTCTTCAGTATGAGCCTATGAAGGAAGACCTGGCTTCTTGAAGGAAGAGGCATTTTGTGGCATTCTGCAACAGCCCCTGTGCACCTACTGCCTCAGACAATACATAGGCAGAGCTCTGCATCTCAAACCCTTTGGAGGCAAACTGGCCTATTCAGACTTACTCCTCATCTGTGATAGAGGCATGACAGCTATCGCAGACCCGCACTTCAAACTCAAATCCCATCAGTGGTATGGAGGAGCGCTTGGAGCTGCATTTTCCACACACTGCTTTCCCACACTTCCGGCAGTGATGCTGGAAAAAACAAACCAAAAAAGGATTCCTCAGAACCAACACACATAGCAGTAATTTAGTTCAGCCATTTGTTTCAGCAAAAGCCACCTGGGGCTATAGCCCCTGAAAAACAGTAGAATCCTCACTCGTCTCATTCAGGAGAGGAGGGAAAAAGGCTGGAGAAGAGCGTTTGGTAGGAGGAAGAAAATCCTGGTTCCAATTTTGCATTTTGTTATCTTTAACACACAACCCCCAGTTAAATTCATGATGCAAACCAGGAACCAAAGGCCAAATAGAGGCAATATGGCCTAAGGGAGACCTTCTGGGTGACTTTGGGCAATTCACTAAGGCCCCAGCTACACATTATATGCATTGTGCAATAAATTTAGACCAGCCATGTGCAAGTAAGACCAGCCACAAGTGCAAAGTAATTATCACAGGATAAAAGTGACCATCCAGTTACAAAAAGAGCCAACCAGCTATAAAGGTAGTGCTTGAAAAGGTATAAAAACTCCATAGCTGGTTTCTATTCAGCTGTAAATTCAAACGTGCAGCAGACCCCTAAGAGGAGGTACTACTGAATGGTGAATTTAGATTAAAGCTACTTTACTTACTAGTAAGTTTATATTACCAGTTGCAGTAGAGATTTTTGGAAGCCTTTTTCAGTCTCCTTAGTGCAATATTGTCACATGGGGACAGCATTCCTATTAGTGTGTAAGGACTTAACACACCCAAAGTCATGTTAAACAGGCTGAATGTTGCCTGTGTGGGACTTGTTCTCCATCTGTTTTATCAAATATCCTCTGCATACTAGACCAGCCCATCCCTAACATACAAGAGTATGGTACCTGTCCACCAGGAAACTGTACTTCTTTAGTCACTAAGTCTCAAAGGAATATCACCACTACTGCACGTCCAGCAAGGGGAACACAAGAAACATCACCGGGGATCCAGGGTTTCAGTTCGCCATGGAAAAGATCTGGTAAAACCTGGATTTTCTCATTTTAAGGAAAAAAAACCTGGACTTTCTCCTTTAAAGGAGAAAAGCACTGGGAATGGTGGGTTTCCTCTTGCAAGCTGGCAGAGTTCCAGCCTGGAAGGGGCTAGGGGGAGTGGGAGAAGGGCAATCAGCAGGGGATGCCATGTGTATCTGTGCATATACACATGCACATGGCTGCCAGGCAGCCTGGAGAAAAGCTCCCCACAGGTAAGTCCGGCAGCAGGGGTGGGGATTGAGGCTCTCCTAGTGAGGGAAGGAAGGAGTTGGGCAAGGCTGGGGCTGTTGCCCAGCTGGGTGGTACGTGCGGCTTGGGGCCTGGGATTGGAAGGTGCGGCCACAGGGCCCAAGTGGGGAGTCGGACAGGGCTGTGGGTGGTTCATCTGGGTGGCAGGGGGCTGGCTCCCTGCTGCTGTGCTCCTGGGGAGGGTGTAGGGGGAATGTGTCCCTCAGATTTATACACAGGGTGGGGGCAGGTGTGATTTTCCCCCTGCAAGCTCAGGCTCCCCGCCCTGCTGTCCTCCCCCCAGCGCCTCCACTGCCCAGTGTGGGGGGTCCCATGCCTCAAGACAGAGTGGGGTGGGGAATTTCAGTGCCACTGTTGCAAGCCCTGGAATGCTATGGTGAAGCGCTCCCTGCCTGTCCTGCAGCAGCAGGGGTGGCAGCTTGGAGTTGTACCCCTCATTGCTGCCGGGTGGGTGGGGGGTGCATTGCCATGGCAGTGCAGAGTTCCCAGCAGTGGCAATGAGATTCCTCACCTAGTCCCACTCTGCCCTGCTGCACTGGGTCCCACATGCTGGGCAGCAGAGGCCCCAGGGAAAGGGCAGCAAGGCATGGATCCCTGAGTCTGCAATGGGCAGCCCACACCTGACTCACCCTATAGGCTCCACTCTGGCTGCTGCCACCCATTGGGGAGGGGGGAGCTGGGCTCCGCTCCACCATGGCAGCCACTACTTCCCATGGGTGGCAGCCAGGGTTTGGGTGCTGCTGCTGGGGCAGGTGGCTGTGGACCTGGGTCCCTGGCCCTGTAGCCCTGGCAGGTGGGAGCCGCCTCTGCCAGGGCTGGGGCGGGGCAGGAGCCTGTGGGTAGAGAGTGAAGGGCACCAGCACAGCCCAGGAGGCCGGGGGGTGGGAGTGAGGGGCAATGGCATGGGCAGGGCATCAGCAAATCAGGGCTGCTCAGTGCCACAAAAGGGGGGGGAGGGGGGAAGAGTGGGGAGACTGCTACAGCTGGACCCATGTCCTGGTAAGTGACAGAGTCAGGGGCAGCTCTGATTTCCCATGATAAAAACCCAAAATGAAATGCCAACACTTATAGGTATTTAGAATTTATTATAGTGATTGAGGCACTGATAGGCTTCCAAATTGCAAATATATCAATAAAACATTGTGTTCAACTGATACCTATAGATAGTGGTGTTTCATTTTAATATGTTAAAATGTGGATTTGGGTGTTTTTAAAATCAGAGAATTTGAGTTTTATCAGAGAATTTGCAATTTTTGAACAGACAACCAGGATCCCTGAACATCACTCACAGTGAACCTACTCTGGGTCTCTGTACTAGAATTGTGTGGGAAAGTTTCTCCCTCAGTTAGCTTTACAAGAGTGCAACACTACCACTGGCTACCATTAGGAGTCCAGATACCAGGTTGATAAGCACAACAACAGCATATATACCAGACTACAGCTGTATATTACTATATTTATCCGAATCCAAGATGACCTCCCAATAATCAGATTATACACATGGAAAATTATAAAATGTGTTTTAATTTTCCATGCATAGAATCTAATTATTAGAGGGCAATCTTAAATTTGTCCCCTCCACTGCTGCAGTGGGGAAAGCAGTGGAAGGTAGGGGCATGCAGTGGGGAAAGCAATAGTGGTGGGCAGGTGCCTCTTGCCCCCACCTCTTGCCCCCTTAGCATCTCTCCCCACTTATCAACCTCGTGCCCTCCTCATACCTGTTGCTGGCCATGGCCCTGGAACCACTGCACACTGCAACTGCTGTTGCTCACAGTTGCCTGCCCCCCCTGCCAAAAGCCTTTAATTACTATGCATATAGTGGAAAAGAGAAAAAAATTCTTATATGAAAAGTATTGGAAGTGTTTCACTGTAAGAAGTTTTATGTGAGTGGATGCATCAATACAAAGAATGTAGTACAAACCTGTCTAAGGCCTATTTTCTTACTGTCCCACATCTGTTTGAAGTTCCAGAAAAAAGGCTGGTCACACTTTTGACAAGAATCACTGTCTAACCACTCGGGTGTCTGTAACACAAAACAGTGCTTTTAGACGGAAAAACTTCATGCAAGCATCTAACGATAGAACAAGGGGTGTGGATTCCATTGTAGTAATTATATTTAGATGAATTTGACTAGAAACAAAAAGTCATTTGAAGCCTTCTCAGAGATTGATGTTGTGCTGAGCTCTGTACTCTGAAAGCTTCTGCAGGATTAAGATCCTGTACCAGATACATCAAAATGATTCAACTGTGAAAATAAAGGGCCAACATCCCCCCCCCCGCCCCAAACCGGGATGTTTAAAATTACACATCTAAAAAATGAAAGTCCTGTCTGAGCAGTGCTGAGCACCACCTGCTGGCCACAGCAAGTTAAAAGTACTCCAAATTTCCAAAATTGGGATGCCTCTTTAAGTGGCAGTGTTGGAAAGTTTTGCCCCACTTTTAAAAAAATTATAACTGGCATTTCTGATCTTACTGCTGCCAAACCAGCAGAAGAATCCCCCAGATAATCAGTTTCTTGTCCTGTGCCTAACATTTATGCAACAAAACCTTGATGTTTGCAGTAAAGAATTTCCATTTTCTGGTACAACATGGCTTTGCTCTTCATGCTATAAGAGAAGTGGGCAAGAAGCTCTAAAGGCATATCCAAAATACTGTCTGCTCCCCACAACAGCCCTGGGCGTAGGGAGCATTATTATTATTTTTTTTTTTTAAGCAGGAAGCAACTTTGGCGCCTCACTTCTGTCCACACCAGTGTTTTGCTGACATGTCCTCTGCTGGTGCACACTCTCAAGCAGATGTTACCTCACTGGTTCTCTTCTCTACCCTCACTCTTCAAGACAGTGACAACAATTCAAGTGCCCTTTCACATCAGTACATATTAAACTCATTTAGACCTAGTCCTGATTACTAGAAGAAAACTGTTTTAGGAACATTTCAGTTAAGTATAGACATAATGGATTGCACTATCAATCCTTCAGCCCCACACCACCTTGATCTAGCCCTGAGCTGCTCTGATCTGGCTTGACTGGCTCCTGCCCTCCACAGGTCTGGAACATTTGGAACAAGGGTAGCAGGATTTAATGCTGCCACCGCTCCCCCACCACCAAATTTTCATAACTGTGGGAAACCTGGTGGGCTGAATGAAAAAGCTCTGCAGGCCAGATTTGACCAGTGAAAGGCATAAAATACCCAATTTGTGATTAAATAAGATCAGGCTAGAATACAAATACAGAAAAAGCCAGCAAAGTAGAATTGATGACAGCCTGAGGCACTGGCTCCAGCCTTCCACCCAGGAATGAGTTAAGCAAACTGTTGATCACAGCTTGCTTTGTCAGTGTATGCTAGAGGCAGGTGCTTTAGAGGGCAGACCCTGCTACTGACCATTTCTTACATACATTTTAATTAATTTGAAGTCTGTAGATTTATATGAGTGAACTAAGCTATCATCTCTAAGCCCTTGAACACTGCATGTGAAAAAGGTACACTGCTTGTAACAGCAACTGCTCTACAGTCCAATGAAGAATGAGCTTCTATCATCTTTCAAGTATCCCTTTCCTATAGGCTTAGTTGGAGATAAAGGAGTAAAAAAAAATATATATTTAAATAATGGCTTAGTCTCACTCTTTATTGCAATTTGAGAGACCCAATAGGAGTGGTAACATCAAAGCAAACACTAAAGCATACATTAAGTAGAAATATCTAATCAGTAAAAGATACAAATGCTAAACCAGAAACATTCAAGAAAAGTGTGCCAAGAGCACAGAGCAAAATATTGTACATTAAATCCTAAGGGTTTATGTTTTAGAATTAGTTTAGCTTAATATGCTCCCTACTGAGTGGCTGATTATGGCTAGCCTGGCTCATTCTTGTATTTAAAAAGACTGTATTTACACCTGCTGCTAAACACTGATGGAACTAATTGTATTTCTTATCCTATTTTCAACAAACATCAAGTAATAAAAGCATTTTGTTTTGTAACAAAGTGCTTCAATTTGCACCTTTGAAGTCTCCTTCGCCAGATAATAAAACAACATTATTTCTGGGTGTAAAAATCGCATCAATAAAGGAAACATCTGTCAGGAGGGAGGAAGCAGCTCAACTTGTGCATTAGTTTTGAAGCTGATGACATCACTGACAATTACATCAGCAATTAAAGGGATTGTCAGCTTGAATACTGATGAATTTTGGGGGGAAAAAAAAAGTGGTAAGAAGTTTGCTGCCCCTGCCAATTGCCGAGGTTTTACAATCCCATTTTTCACATTGTTCACAAACAGAGGAAGCATCTTGCTGGGAAACGGTGAAACCAATTTGTCCCAGTGCTGGCAAATATATAGAGCAAAACAGAAAATAAAACCTAATTTCCCTACCATCTCTACTGCTCTGAACTCATTCAGTTATAGTAATGAGGTGTCACTTGTAATAAGAGTAAGAAGAAGAGTGGTTTTTATGCCAGCGGTGTCCCTTTCAGGCATAATTCCACACTACATAGAGTGACTAAATATAACCTCCCTTTTCTCAAAAAACAACCTCCTGTAGGTATTTAGGGCCATGAGTGAATGTAGACAAGGCCTTAAGCACTAAAGCATCAGTAGAGTCTGCAATCTGATGTGGCTGAAGTCCACAGGTGCAGCAAAGTACAAACTGAGGCTTTGCAAAGATTGATTTGAGTCTGGGTTTAACACATTTCAGAATAAAGGTAGGTCAATTTAGCTGGATCAGCTCAGTTAATGCAAATCCTGTACATCTTTGTCTATAGTGTTGTTATAGCTATTCTAAAGCGGGTGCAGGATAAGGTAACACTGACTCCTTTTTCTTCTTACCAGAGATGCAAAGCTGATGCAGTTACAAAGCATGTAACAAGACTATAATCTTTCTTGTGCCTCAAAAGAAGTTCCAATTAGTTACATCTGTGCAAAGCTATTAAAGGTAGGTAGGTTACACAGGTGTAAACTAAGGCTATAATTTAATGATTTTTAACATAATAGGAAAAAACTGGCAAAATGTCAGCTGATTATCCAGAACTGGTAGTTTCTCTCTATTTTTGGTTTTTAAATGCCATCCATTATTTTTACTTGTAAAATTATAGTATTTCTTATTTAGTCGCTGCAAAATAAAAGCAGAACACTTAATAAGTGTTCTTCTCAAAAGTAATCCTAAGGGCATAAACCAGTTAGCTATACGTAGAACAAACTCTCTGCCATACAAGCTGTCTTGGGCCACATAGCACAAAACACAGTATATCATTGTGTGCACGATGGCTGCATGCCTAAGAACACGAGTTTCCTTCTCAAGAGCTTCACGTTCTAGATTACATTACTTGAGAAAGCCCCTTCTACCCATTACTCTGCTTTAGTGATTATCAACAAGAACTGCTTATCTACCTCTTGTCTCTCAACATCCATATTCCAGACAACAATTCCACCATCTCCACCACAAGAGATGAGCTGTCGCGTATGATGAACATAGGAGAGAGACTGAACTTTATCACTGCAAAAGAAACAAGACCGTTAACAACAAACCCTTTACAACTAGTAGAAGGATTTTAAGATATGACCCAAGGTAAAGCAACCAGCTGGCCAATGTGCATGATCTGCAGAAGAAAACGTACAAAATTTAGCAGCTGTACTATTCAAGTTAGTATCTTGGAAGGTCTATACCATGTAGCATATTGCAGAGTCTGCAACGTTTTTGGGCACAGTGCCAAAAACACCCACTACCTTGACACGTAAGATACTGGCGTGCTGGGGTGAACAGCACGGGAGCTGTGAGGAACCTAATCCTTGGTGTGGCAGCACAGCCCCAGCCCTTTCCCTGAGGTGCAAGTGTCATTTGCCATTGGTGGTGGAAGGAGGAAGAAATAGTCTCATTTGGATTTGGGTAATGCCTTAAGGCAGGCAACTGCTTTAGCTCTGGCCCAGGCCCAGGCCCAGAGCTGCTGCCACTATTGCTGCTGCCTGTCCGGGTTCAATATGAGGCATGTGGCAGGCAGGGACAGCAACAGTAGTCGGGGCAGCCCAAAACATCTGTGCGCGCCATGTAAAAAAAAATCAGGTCAAACCAGCTCCATGTACTGGGGGTTACCACCATCTGGCCAGGGCCATCATGTGGTCCATGCCCCAGGCCAAAGCTGCTATGTAAGGTAAAGTGGCAGCTGGGGTGGGGAGGCAGTCACTGGAGGGACACAAGGTGTTGGGGGGTCAGGCTGCCTCCCCCTACACTACAGACCTGGAGGGGATGAATTGAAGATGTCCCTTCAAACAATTAGATTCTACACATGAAAAAACACTTATAATTTTACATCTATAAAATCTAATTTGGGGGGGGGGGGGAGGGGGGAGGTGGGGGCAGTAGTCTTAAATTCAAAGTCATCTTGGATTTGGGTAAATACAGTACTTGTGGTTTGAGTTGCCACTGAAGAAGTGGGTCAGAGAGAGGGGTGATGGTCTGACACACTGGGATTAAAGATCTTCCCTTCATACTTTCTGGCTTTGGCGCACACATCTATTGAGAAGGGTTTTAATGTCTGCATATGATGCATAATCATATGCAGACATTAAATCTGCATTAATCTGCATATGATGGCTCCTCCATTCAGCAATGCTGTTAGGAGGCAATCTTCTATCTCATACTATATCACACTAGTATACTGAGAACTTGCCAACCCCAATGGCAGCACAAGATGGAAATGCCACCACAGCCCACAATGGTTCTGTTTCAGTGCATCTTACAGACCAGTCATACCACAGATGAAGAACACAGACTTGCAAACAGGTGATCCAATGCTACAGCTATAAGCCAATGCAGGTCTACATTTGTAAGCTTTGTAAAGATCTGAAAGTTTCAGTGTTCAGGGGGTCTTGGCATGCAGCAGAGCAGAACCCCAGAATCCAGGCATCCCAACCAAAGAAACTGCCTTTGAAGAGTGAGTCACTCAGGCAGTGAACACAGCTACAGGTTCTCAAATTCTGAAGAACGTGTGCATATGGAGGTAATCTTAAAAGTCTTTCAGACAAAGTCAAAGTTGTCATGTTCCCACTTCATACCCCACCCCAGTCTAGTCCTACTGACTCTGACTATCCCCTTTTCATTTATTCCCCTTTATAACAGCAGAACCCACTTTTAACTTCTTCACAGGAACCACAGGACAAACAGTATGCCTTTGAATAAACTACATTACAGATACAGACAGACATTTCTTCTAAAAATGGCATACATCTAAAGTTAAAGCAGTAAAAATTGTCTATGTACATCACTGAGGTTCTGTCCTTGTAAATGCATATTTAAAATTTCTTATACTTGAGAATCAGAAAGTTAAGTGCATTTTAAACGTAAAAGCATCTTATATCTGGAGGAGTATGGCAATTGCCTGGTAATCCTAGTCTTGCCCCTAGAGGGCAAGAATAAGGAGCCTGCTATCAAGACCAGAAAACAGAATTGATCAAGGGGAAAACTACATCATTCAATGTAGTTAACACTAGTGATGCACAAGATGCCATGAACAACACATGCATCTCAAAACAGAGGTAAGAGTATACCCCTTGGCTTCATTTCCACAAATATGATGGCTGCCTTTTTCTCCCTCACAAACACGGACATACTTGTGTCCTTGTAGTTCGATGGCTGTTCCTTTTCTTCCTCCTATATCCCACATAATGATGGAATGATCCGAGCTGCCCGAGAACAGAATTCGTTGCACTGGGTCCCAACAGAGAGCAGTGACACCACCTGAAAACAGAAGACGTGTAGAAACCAGTCATTTTATTACCAATGAAGGCAATGGGAAGGGAAAAAAAAGAATAGAGCCAAAAACGAGAGTCTCAAAATTTAGAAAGGACATGATTTGTTCAGACATCCAAGGGGGCTGTCCTGTGCAACCAGAACAGTGTACTCCCAATAGAAAGGCTTCTGGCACACAAACAGCAGCCCTGGAAAGCCAAGGAAACCAGATTCCAATGTTAATGCTGATTTTCTGTAGGTGCAGAGCTCAGCCATAGCTCCAAAGCTTATGCACACTGAGCCCAAAAACAGTAAGCAAGCCCTGGATTAAAAAGCCTCTATATAAGTAGCCAGGGAGTTGTGATGGGGTGACCCATATCCACCCCTTGGAACCAGAGCTTGCAAAGTGAAGCTGTTGGGGAAAAGTGGGAGGCAGTGCCTTCAGAGTATCTCAGCATGAGGACTGAACATTTCTGCCTCAAATCCAGCAAGTCAGTGGGTGTTGAAGTGCAGGTCCCCCTCTCCATCTAAAACAAAAGCAGCCTGCCCAGCCTGAACTGGAGCTGTAAGCAAATAGGGAGAGCTGTTCAGACCAGGGATGTTGTCATAAGGAAAAGAGGAAGTGCTGAGGGGAGAACAACCCATACACCTCTTCCCTCTCTGGAGGCATATGCTGTGTAGTGGTGGCTCATCTCTCACAGGGCTATTGTTTAAGTCTTTTGTGGCACAACCCCATCACCAAAGCAAAACATGCACTGTACTGAAGCCTTTAATTTCATATGTGCTTGTTGGCACAAGCTAGAAACACAGTAAAGCATTTTCCATTTTGAGCAGTACCAGTGACTGTGGGTGGAGCTACAGATAAACAAAACTACTTGTGTGCACATGTGTTAACAGGATTGGGTCCTTACCCAGTTAGCGTATTCCTCAATTAGGGCTTCAAGTGTTGCAGGTCTTTTTGATACCGTATTTTAATTAACACCTATTAGGTACACAGTGTACAGCAGGGGCAGGCAATTATTTTGGTGGGACAGCCACTTACCCAGTTTTGGCAGGCTGTCGAGGGCCACATGGGTAGCCCCGCCCTGTGACAGGTGCCCCACTCCTTGAGAGGTGCCCCGCCCCCTGGTCACCATCTTGGGACCAATGTCCCAGGGCCAGCACTGGTGGGGCCCAGAGTGGGGCACAGGCTGGCAAGGATCTGTGGAGCTGGGCTGGGCTGCACCAGCAGGGAGTGGGGAGCTGGCCCGGCTCCATAGAGCCCCTGCCGGCTGGGATCCCACACTCTGGCCACCCTGCTCTGGGGGCCACTGGCACTGGCCCTGGGACACTGGTACGGTCCCCGTGCTCCCACTGGCTGCCTGCCTGCTCATACCCAGTGCGCCCCAGCCCCGTAGTACAGGCAGGGGGCAGCACTCGGCTCCAACCCCTTGCTCACCAGCAGGGAAGAAGCTGGTGCTGAGCATGGGGAAAACTGGCCCCTCGCCTACGCCATGGCCAGTGCTCCTTGCTGCAGGTGCTCGCAGACCACCCCGGGCAGTCTGGTGG